CAAATTAAACAGACAAAACTAGGTAAAATGTTTAGTAACGTCTTGAATATAATTGTGTCAACTACGTTTTAGTGAAAAGTACTCAACACTGCAACACTAACACAGAATACACAAGACACTGCTGTTTGTAGAGGATGGAGTAGTGGCCTTAATGTTACATAAGTATCCACCAAGTCATATCCAGTCAAAGTTACAATAAATGATTAAACTAAATAAATGCCAACCTGAGATCGATTGATATTTTTCATGGCCAATACCTATTTATTCTCATTTTCTTCAATTTTACCCATCTGTACTCTCCCACCAAACCAAGTCAGAATTAGAAAACCATAAAAGTCTGTCATATGCAAAGTTCCAGTATGGTGCACACATGCCTGATTGACTGGGTTGACACTGCAGCTCCATGGCTTTGAGCAGGACCAGGCACAGTGCTCTGAGGGTCACGTTGTCCACAGAGGGGCCTGACCCAGCTGTCCCCCCAAAGAAGGACTCCCCCTCTACAAGCACACCCTTCAGCCCGCCCCTGGCCGCCACCCGCAACACACTATTGGCCAGCAAGCAGACATCACTGCACCTGAGCCCTGACTGTCCCCTGGTCCAGTCCTCCCCTGCCCTCTGCACCAGCGCCCTCTTCAAGAGAACCAGCACTCTCCGTCTCACCGCAGGCTGGAGAGAGAGGTGGGCAATATCCAGTTACATTTACATAGTTACATTAATTTGTAGTAACTTCAAAGAAACTGTACATCTCTAGTTTTCAGACTCTCTACTACTACTACTTGAGTAACAGATTTGACTGTGTTTTAGTACTCTTACCTGAGTAAAAGTTCTGTTTACTCTTTCACAGAGGTGGGTAGTCCTCTGTTACATTCACTCAGTTACATTTTATATCATGAGAACATTTTGAAGAAATTGTACTTGTATCAAGACTTTTTTCTGCCATCTTACTTTTAAGCCAACTTGAGTACCGTATTTTCCGGCACTATTAGGCGCTCTGAATTATAAGGTGCACTGTCATAGAATGGTCTATTTTCAAACTTTTTTCACCACTAAACCGCACCAGACTTTAAACGAAACACAACAGTTAGTCGGACTTTGTTTGGCGCGTTCACGGTGACTCTTGGCTTTGTTCAATTGTGACGCGTAGAGAGGGTGCTGTCTGGACCGCTGGATTGTTGGCATGTTTGCAGTGACTCAGTTGTTCGCTTTTCGGTTCGTTCCTCCGTTCCATTCCTTGTCCGCGTGGAGTGATGAGTGTGGCTGCGGGTGTGTTTTGCTGTGCGGTCTCTCTCTTCTCCATGTGTGTTTGCGTGCACTGAGGGTGGTGCGACTTTGTAGTTTAGTGAAGTCATGCTGGGACACCCAAGTGGATTGTGCATAGGGCGCTCTGGATTGCGGTGCGCGCAGTCTTTTTTTGATGGGGTTGGAGGCTTAAGAGCATGCCCAGTAGCCCGGAAAATATGGTAATATTTAGTTTGAAGTAACAAAGCTCTTACTTGAGTAAAAGTTGTGTGAGTCTATGACAAAACCATTATATGAACAACTTTGAATGATTAAAACCTATCACATCTTACCTTCAGATAGGATTTTTTTTTAAATTATTATTATTTTTGTGTCCACTGCTTGGGAAGAGCTAAAACTTGTGCATCAGATTAATTTCATGTTTGTCTGATTACATAAACTCATACTTTTTGTAATGTATTTGTAATACATTTAGATCAGTACCAGAAAAGCAGTTTCTCCAAATCCTTTTTTACTCTTACTTGAGCTATTATATTTTGTATTTTTCTTATATTTTGTACTTCAGCTTAATAAATATTATTATATTGTAATGCCCCTCTTAAGAACAATCTATAGCTGCTCTACTCACCTCAGGCTGGAGGAGTGGGCTGGAGCATAGGATGAGCAGTTTGGAGGTGCAGAGGCAGAGCAGGCACTGGGCACTCAGAGCTGCCCCCTGTTGCTCACACGCACTTCTGCAGGCACACAGCACCTCCAGCAGGTCCAGCACCAGGCTCACGGACACCCCCCAACCTCCACAACCGGCCCCAGCGTCCACACTCAGCAACTGAGAGCAGAAGGCTGACAGGGTGGGGTCGAATTCCACCAGGACCTTCTCTGCAAGCTCTGAAAAACAACACAACTCACTTCACTTTCCCGTGCTATTGCTACTTTCAGAAATCCAGAAACTAAATTAATAAAAGGCAAGGAAAATAAGTAGATGTAAAAAGGTGTTACCATAGTTTCCGCCTTTCAGTATTCGCCTGAGGACCTCTGTCAAAGAGCGGACACAAGCATCCACAAGGGGGCCGGTGGGACAGAGAGGCCCTGGACTACTGAGGGGCCCAGGAGATATGCAAAGGGCTTGGTGACACCACTGACTCCACTCACTACTGATCATGCCCTGGACAAACACAGAAGTATTCTAAAAACACAAGCATCCATACCAGTGGAAGGTGAGGGTGGAATCTGAGGCAGAGGATGCAATGTGGTAATAATGAAGGCTCCAGATACAACAGGACTAATACAGAAGTCATTACTATATCTGACTGGTCTCTGTGTACTATGTTTGTGCAGTTAGAAGGCATGCTTACAGTCTGATGCAGCTGGTAGATGACAGCCGCAGACACACACATCACACTCAGGTGAGACAGGAGCAGGTCCTCAGAGTTAAACTGCTGCAGCTGCAACACGACACATCAGAGAGATTTAGTTACACGGTTCTCACTATAACTCCAGCTCATTCAAAGACACTGAGATAGAAGATCTAAGGGTTACGCTGCACCCACCAGTGCGCCCACGATATCAGACTGGAGCAGACTCCAAGTCTCCTCAGCAAACAGGTGGAACTCAGGGCCCCCCTTGCCCGCCGTGAGACGACACAGCAGCTGCTCCAGCACAGTCAGGGCCACACACTGGAGTTCGGGGGCGCAGACACTCTCGACCTCGCACCCGGGCTCAAGCGCACTCACTCCGTCTCCATGCGCACACAGGCAGGAGCGCAGCAGGCAGGCGGTGTGTGCAGCCGTGAGGCTGGAACAGTTCGCAGACAGGACACAGTGGTACAGCTGATCCAGAGGGGCCAGGGGCTCCGGGAGAGGCAGGTCCCCGCTCATTTCTGCCCGGAGTTGGGTTATTAATTACGCGTGCGCTTGTGCCAAGGTCCATCACCTACTGCATCGATCATGTGTGGATGTACATCTTTTTCCTTTCTGCTTCTGTGGAATCTCACTAGAGTTTATAAATTGCATTACTGCCACCTGCTGGTGTCTAACGGGGGCTCAAATAACATTTCTATCTTGCAGCCGGAGCAAGAAGGGATTATAGCCTATACACCTTGTTATTGTTGTTATTGTTGTTGTTGTTGTTGTAATATGTTTTATTTCTAAATTCTATATGACTTATGTGCTTGCATTGACTTCAACGATAAACAAGTTAAGTGCAAACAGTGCCCCCTGCTGTTTATTAACGTGAGTCTTATTGGATAAGTATGCGAGCATGTGAACTTTGCATAACAGAGACAGGCTTCATGCACAAAACTAATTCAAGTAGGTATGAAATTTCTAAACTTATATGTGTAGATTGGTAGAAGTGATTTAGCTTTGCCTTAAAGGGTCTTTGCCTTAAAGGGTCAGAGGTGGGTAAAGTTTACTCAGGAGTTCTAACATTTAGCAAAATATTGGATACCTCTAGCTGTTTCTTGACCCGCTCGTTCTTTCTAATTTTTGTGCTATAGTTTAAACATACCAGATTTTGTGTTTATTTACAGTCTTGGACCACTACTTTGCACTTCTGTATACATGTGTGGAGTAATACTTACTTTATTCATCTTTCAACTTTGAATTGATCAGGTTTTAAACTTTGCACTTGGAGTTGTTGTTGACTCAAAATGAGCCTAGAGTCTCTCATTTGGGTTACCAGTTTCAATGCCGAAATCCAGTTGGTTTAAACGTAAAATGCCACTCTCTGATCTGAATTGTCACAACCTAAACCCCAGCCCTGCAATTCATGAATTAGTGCCAGTGCAGCCTCTGCAGCTCAGTGAGGGAATTCTGGAGATTCTGAGGCATGGTCTGTCCATATACCGAGAATAAGAAAAAAATAATGTGTCGTTCAGGTTCTAGAAACCCAGGCTATTGGAGTTAGTATCATATAGCCTATAATTTATATAATACTAATAAAAGGTTTAATATTTTGTAATGATTTAGAATATTTGACCTTTTATTATATTATTATGATTCTGATACTTCAGCTAGATTTTATTCCTTGTGAACAAATATTAAGAATGATCCAGGCTTAATTAAGGGCTTATGAGTTTGTGTATTAAGTAGTTACAAATCATTTTTAATTATTTATTCATTAGGAATGAGGTCTTTTTCATGTTTTATTCGGGCTATTTAGAGTATAGTTATAAAGTGTTACCCAATTTCTTTAAAAAGTGACTCAAGTAAATATAACTCTACCTCGGTACCTCTGACCACAGGTATGATTGTTGCTACATTGTACTTGTGGTTGTATTACACCTGTGTTGGTGAGTGGCGTCACTAGATACGTGCCCATATAAGTGAGTCTTTTGTGTTTGTACTTGCCACGGGGGGGTTCCCAGGTGATTGTGTCCGCATGGGTGTGACCAGAAGAATGTCAAACAAAAGATCTGCAACTGGGACTGGGAGCAGAGCTGTAAATCCAGGACTAACTCTTAGGATCCAGAAGTCTGCGCTACTCCAGGTAAGTTCGACTCTCTCTCAGAAATTTGCCAAGTAGACTGTTAGGAGGGACAATAGAAAACTATTGCAGGTGAATTGCTGGTTTTTATGTGGATGGACACCTATAGTAATATTAGCTGTGCTTTGGCATACTAATGATTATGCTGCTTAACAAACAGAATAATATATAAGAAACAGGAAGGAGACAATTAGACAAACACACTCATAGTTAACGTATTTCAGTGAGTCAAGTATAAATGCTATTGCTACATTTGTATTATTTAAGTTAAGTTAAATTAAATACACTAAAAATAGAGAACAATGCTTGTGCGTTTGTGTGGTGTGGCAGTAAAAGTCCTGTTGAACATGATTGTTCTGTGTGTACTGTCAGTACACCCCAGATATGACTGTTGATATGGGCAACACCGCTGAATGCTCTTCTAAGAATCTAACAGCTTAGTTTGTCAAGCAGGACGCAGACCCTTCGTAAACACTGTTTGACTCCACACCGGTGTCTTTAACTAACTGGCTTTAAGAAGACATCCAAACTGTGACTCTTTGAATTAGCCGTGAACAAGGGAGTGATCTCTGGGTCAATATTTGCTTTGTCAACAGAGCCATGTGGTGCGAGGCAGGGCGTGTGACATCAGTATAAGATTGTGTTCTCACTGTCCTGTATTATCTATGTGTGGGTGGGTGTTTGGGACATTGTGGGGATCTGTCTTCCTTATATGGACAAACATCAGGTCCCCATGATCCTTTATTATGATTGAAATTAATGTAATGGCCCCAAAATTCATGAGGGGACATCACCAGTTTTCCTGTTTTAAGAAACATTTAAAATTGTGGTTGAAAGACATGCAAACATGTGATCATGTGTGAGCTAAAGATTTTCAAATCTGGACCTGTTACATACTCATTTTATTGATTAAGCACCTTGGGAATCAGTGCTATACATGGGTATGTACAATACACTGGAAAAGGACTCTAAACTGCCACTCTTTGGCTTGTTCTTGTCCTTGTTTGTCTCTCCTGTTCGTGCAGTCTGTGAAAATAGTGTGTGTTTGTTTAATTTTTTTATAACACCAACCTGCCAGGGTGTGTTAGTTAAGGTTAAGTTTAGGGTTTAGATTAAGGTTAAATTAGTGACTAAGGTTAGGATCGTTCTCTAACAAATGAAGGTCAAGTCAAAGTGATGAGTGGTGTGTGTGTGTGTGTGTGGGTGTGCGTGAGTGTGTGTGTGTGTGTGTGTGTGTGTGGGTGGGTTCCAAAAATGTAAATCTTTTATTAGATGAACAGCATGATTCAAAGTTCAGACATAAGTTCAAGCAGGTTAACGTTATGGTTAAAGTACATGAGAGGTTTGACAAGACAGTTCCATAAAACAAAGTTAACATTATTATATTTAAGAATAAAAATGTTCATGTTTAAATTACATTACAGTATGATTTGACTCATTAAAATAAACAGCAACCTCTTTATTTTGTTAAATTAATGCTTAATCTGTCATAAATCAAATGTAAAACTATAATACCACAGATTCTACCCACCAAACTAAGTCATAAGGATAAGTAGTGTCTGTGGTTATGGTTCACTAGTCTCCACAAAATTAAAATAAATCAATGTACAAGTACAAGTAAAGGTGCACTGCTCAGCTTCTCTGGTGGAAAGTTTGCTACCTACTTGTCTCCATGGAGATGTTATTGCTTTGCCTGGAATGTTCCCCAGTATGAGATTAAACTGCTCTACCTTACATTTATTCAATTACAGGTGTTATAGCTCACTGTGATCGGGGTCGCCTCTCCACAGATCTGACATGTATCTTGGTCTGGTTTTGTCTCCACGAAGATAGAAAGGTTTAATGCCATACTGTGAAATAGTCCAGACTAAGATATATTATGTTCATGGATAAAAGCATTTGGCGGACCAAAAAATTACATAATGCACCATTCAAACATGTATACTCATTTTGTGTATGTGTGTGTGTAGGATGCTGGTCTCCATATACGAGTGGTTCTGGTGGGATCGTCTCTGGCTCCCGGGGAACTTGACATGGTCTGACCTGAAGAACAGAGAGGGCCAGGTCTACGCTAGGGCCTCACACCTGTACGCTGCCATCCCCTTCACCGTGGGCTTCCTGCTCGTACGCTTCATGTTTGAGAGGTAATACATTTTAAAGCAGAATATGGGAAAAACACAATCTTAAAGAAGTACATATTGCTAGGCAGGGATGTAATGAGTATGATATTGTCATGACATTTATTGCGATATTTTGTAGAGGCTAACAAAAGAACAAAGAGTTAAGAGTAAAAAGTGCTTCATACGTTATTTCATTGTGTAAATTGGACTGAAACAGAGCAAAGAATCGTTGTATATGTAGTTCTCTGTTTCTTAGCTACTGCTCCACTATAATGAATTTAAGCAAAGAGACTTGAGATTCAGTATGTTGTGATGGCCCACCATTACTGAGACACTTTTGATGATACAGTATCACAATATTTTGACAATGCAATATCACAATGTTACATCCCTACTGTTAGGCTTGTCATGATAACAAATTTTGAAGTGTGATACATTGCTGAAGCTGTGGTGGATGAAGTAATCAATTTTTTTCACTTAAGTAAAAGTACAGACATAGTGGCAATAAGTTACTCAAGTAAAAGTATCACATGAAAAAATTTTAAAAAGTAAAAAAAAAAGTATCTGTTTATAAATGTACTTAAAGAGTAAAAAATAAAGTATTTTGCTAAGAATTTTAGAACAATTAAAGGATGAAATGTAGTGATTTTGATAAAGAATTTAGCAGATTTTAAGTCTGCGCCATTTCAGGTCTCACAACATAAAGAAAAGTACTTTTTACTTTTCAGACCAGATCTAAGATGTAGTGGAGTAGAAAGTACAGATACATTGAAACTAATTTATGCCACTGACGCAAAAACCCTAAACCCTAAAGCAGGATTATTTCCCAAAAACTATTCTAAACGTACAATATTGTTAAAAAACAAAACATGAATAAATAAATAGCAGAAAGAAACACTTTACTACTTAATCTGCATCTGCAATGAGTCATAGAAGTCATCAGTGCAACCTTTTACAGCTTAAATCTTATCATATAGCCCAAAAACAACCACAGATTTCACAGTTATGCAAAGAAAAAGTACACATGATAAATATTACTACTAATACTACTACAAAAAAGTTCCAGCTTTCATATAGAAAGCTCAATATAGTTATTATTGTGGCCTATATATTGCTAGAAAACAAGAGCTTGAGGCCCACATCTAGATTTTAGTGGATGTTGTCTAGATTTGAGAAATTCTTGAAGTTTTTATTCTTATTTCAAGTGTATTTGAAGCTCATTTCAAGTGAAAAAATACTTCTCTTTTTTATTTCAAGTAAAATAAGATGTTTTATGCTTGGTCTGTTGACAACCCTTTTTTTAGGTCATCAAAATATACCCAAAACAAGATAAATAAGCTTTATAAATAAGATACTTGTGTAGGACAAATACAAGTTTTCACATTCTTAGATCAGAGATAGTTCTTTTAGGATTAAACCAACTGGATTTTAGCATTGAAACTTAAAAGCTATATTTGATTTCTACCATGTATCTGGGGCCACAAATATGTTTATGGAATTTAAAATCAAACCTTACCATAAGAATGTCATTCTCATAGGACTGCATTGAAATTAAAGAATAACCAGGTGAAGAAGGAAATCATTGTGCAGGTAGCCTAATTGTAATTTTAGCTGGGATAGTATTGTTGTCATGGTAACTTTCACCACACCTTCTATGTCCTGGAGAAGGATTATGAATGGAGACTGGAAACCAACTATTATTTACTCAATTTACATTTGTGATTTAGGTGGATAGCCACACCTTTGGCACTGATGGCTGGAGTAAAGAAGAGGATCCATGTCCAAACAGAAGATAACGCAGTTCTGGAGCACTATTACAGCAGACAGAGCAAACAGCCCTCACAGGTACAGCACTGAGAGAAATTTCAGAACTCTCCTTAACGTTTATATTGGCGATTCTTTATTAGGTTTTTGCTGGGTTTCAGACGACATCACAGCATTTTATAAATCAATAATATTTCAAAGCTAAATAGGCTTTTTGGAACATTCCACCATGTTATAACATTGTTCCCTCATCAAACACATGCCAGAGGAAGTTTTATATGTCATTCATGCATGTTTGAGTAATTTAGCGATCTCTCTCACACTATTTGAACTCTCCTTACAGTTAGCAGTACAATCCTATCGAAAGCTCAGCCCACAATCCTATGTGACCCATGCTCTTGCACAATAGTTTTCCATATATACTATTATATGCAAAAGCATGATACAAAACAACACACTACAACTTGACAAACCTGATGCAATGTGCAGTAGTTTCATGAGTGACATGCACACCAAGTGTAATGTGATAGCATTCTGTGGGGGATAGCAAAAGGGGAGAGGGACCCAGAGTGTCAAATGAATCTGACACTTTTTAAACATGTTGATATGTATAGTTTTCGGTGAATAATATGTTATACTTTGGCAGATAATGCTCCATAAAATACCCCAGGTTTAATACAGACGGGCAAAAATGCAGATTATTGTTGTAATACAATGAGTTCTTAGATGTAGGGTTTAAAATCTGTGTATCATTTATTTATTCGTTTTCAATATAAAATAGGAAAACGAAAAATCAACAGTTTTTTTCATTATTTGTCTCCAAAACCAAATGAAAAAACACATAAAGATTTTGGGATTAGACAAGGACCAGTCCTGGTCTCAGTCCTGGTCTCTCAGTTCTGGTCTCAGTTCTGGTCTAGGCCCAGTCTCAGTACCGGTCTGGTCCTGGTCTAATCCCGGTCTCAGTCCTGGTCTAGTCCCAGTCTCAGTCTTAGTTCTAGTCTCAGTCCCAGTCTGGTCCCAGTCTGGTCCTGGTCTCAGTCCTGATCACCTGACAGTCTACGTGGGCACACTCAGTCCTGGTTTAATCCTGGTTTAGTCCTGGTTCAGTCCTGTTTCAATCCGGCATTGCAGTTTTACACAAACAGGAAACGGCCGTTATCCGTTTTTTCCATTATTCATTTAAACACATAATCAAAAAACTGATAAAACGAATCGTTATCCATTTCTTCGTTTTGGCTTTGGAGACAAATAATGAAGAAAATAGTTGTTTTCTCGTTTTCTTATTTTTGGTTTTATATTGAAAAACAAATGAATGAATGATACACGGATTGTTTAAGTAAAACATTTGTGCATTTACCTGTTGGAAATTTCATGGCAAAAGTACAATGTGATCAATATGAAATACTGTCTCTTGTCCCCCTTCTGGATGTATGGCATCATCACATTTTAGCAAAGGTGTGTAGTACTCATTTACTTTTACTTTTCTAGCAGCATACGTAAAGAGTAATATCCTGGACCACTACTTTGTACTTTTACTTGAGTGATGTTATTTTTGAAGTAACAAGTAAGATTTTTCGCTACTCTGTCCACCTCTAGAATCTGAAAATCACCACCTTTTTCTTGTTTTAATGATAATTCTATCCCATATCATCGAACAAAAAGGTCAGATTAACTATAAAGCACATAATTTAGTCATATATTGAATTTCACCTCCTCAATCTGAACTCATTCCATGTACCCTATGGTCAGTGCTTACTTATCGATACATTGCAGTGACATCACGCTGGGGGTGTTCTACATGTATCTCTATATTGAAATGTTCAGGAGTTTCCATGGTTACAGAAAGTACACATTACCAAACACTGGCATAAAAGTTGACAATTCAAGAAAAAATGCAAAATGGATTAAAACAACACATTTTCAGGAGCCTGTGGTCAATACGAGCATTCATGGTCTTGTTTAGGTGAGAGTGACTACCATATTTTCCACACTATTAGGTGCTCTGGAATATAAGGCGCATCCGTCATAGAATGGTCTATTTTTAAACTTTTTTCACAAATAAACTGTACCGGACTTTAAAGGAAACACAACAGTTAGATGGCTCAGTCGGACTTTGTTTGGCGCGTTCACGGTGACTCTCGACTTTGTTCAGTTGTGGCGTGTAGGGAGGGTGCTGTCTGGGACCGCTGGATTGTCGGCGTGTTCGCAGTGACTCAGTTGTTCAGTTGTGTCTAGAAGTGGTACATTGCACTCGCTTTTTCGGTTTGTTCCTCCATTCCATTGCTCATCCGCGTCGAATGATGAGTGTGGCTGCGGGTGTGAGTGTCGCTGTCTGCTCTGCAGTGTTGGAGAGTAACGGATTACATGTACCGGCATTACGTAATCAGAGCACAAATTATGAATAACTGTATTCAGTTACAGTTACTGTTTCAATGAGTGGTAATTGGATTACAGTTACTTTGTTAAAATAAATGGATTACATGGCTGTATTTTTCTGTTTTCACATTTTGGGCTAAACCAGGACTAAACCAGAACTTAAACCAGGACTAAACCAGTACTAAACTAGAACTAAAACCAGGACTAAAGCCAGGACTAAACCAGGACTAAAACCAGGACTAAACCAGGACTAAATCAGGTCTAAACCAGGTCTAAAAGCAGGACTTAACCAGGACTAAAACAGGTCTAAACCAGGACTAAAACCAGGACTAAACCAGGTCTAAAAGCAGGACTTAACCAGGACTAAAACAGGTCTAAACCAGGACTAAAACCAGGACTAAACCAGGATTAACCTGGTCTAAACCAGGACTAAACTAGGACTAAAACCAGATTTAAAACCAGGACTAAACCAGGTCTAAACAATATGACACCTAACAGTGGGGTGAACATAATTTAAGGCAGCAGTGATCTCATATAGAAAGCATTTCTCTATCAATAATATTTTTAATCTGGTTAAGGAAAGACTGGGCTGTTTATTGTCTTTTAGCAGACAAAACAAAACATCTTCTGTTCAGATATCCTACTCTTTGCTACTCTACAGCAAACAAATTCCTGTTCATGGAGACTTGGGCTCAACAGCCAATTTGAAGAGAACAAACAAGAATTTTCAGGATGTGGTTGCTACATTCATGTCGTTTTAAAAAGCATGACAATATCAAGTAATTCAAAGTATTCAGATTACGTTACTCACTTTAAGTAACTTAATGGATTACGTTACAAACTACATTTTGGGATATGTAATCTGTAATCTGTAGGGGAATACGTTTTAAAAGTAACCTTCCCAACACTGCTGCATGTTTGCGTGAGCTGCAGGTGGTGCAGCTTTTTAGTTTACTGAAGTCGTGCTGGGACACCCGAATGGATTCGTGTATAGGGCGCTCTGGATTGCGGGGCGTGCAGTCGTTTTTTGATGGGGTTGGAGACTTAAGAACGCACCCTATGGTGCTGAAAATACGGTAACTGAAAAACTGTTGGCAGTTGCTAACTACCTAAATAATTTCCCTTGTGGATCATTAAAATTTGTCTAAGTATTTGAGTGGAACTTGTTTATGAGCACACATCAGCTCCACTGTTGTAGTTACAACTAAACCTGCCTTTTCAGGTCGGTTTTGTTACAATGTAGATCAGATTAAAGCCTAACAAGCACCAGATAGAGTAAAGTATCAGTAAGGCTCCTATAACACTGGTTGGTTGAGACTTCTTTGAATGCCAGCAGCTGGAGCAGTGTCTCTAACCTGTGTCCCTCTCAGGCAGACTTGACGGGGCTGTGTAAGAAGACTGGGCTGAGCATGAGGCAGGTGGAGCGTTGGTTTCGGAGGCGGAGGTGTATGGACCAGCCTGGAGTGCTCAGGAAGTTCACAGAAAGCTGGTGAGTGATGATGACATAATAATAATGAATAACAAATTTATTTAATGGCCTTTCGGGACTCTCCATGTCACATTTAAAGTCCTATATTATGCAAAATTGACTTGTGAGAGCTTTAAACCATGTTACAATGTTACCTCATCAAAAAAAAAACCTGGAGTTGTGTTTTGTTTCATTCACAAATGTTTGATTACACTTTACTATTTGTCTGTATACATTTCCAGAGCTCAAAATGCTCAGTTCCACCTTGTGATATCATGTAGTGGTAGTTCTCGCTGCCTTTTAGTTTTTGTTCAATAGAGGTTGGCAGTTGCTGGGCTAAAATTATCCAGTGAAGTGATTTGAACGAAGCACCGTGGGGCAATTAATGCATCACAGCATGACATCACAAGGTGGAAAGTGGAAGGTGGAGTGTTTTCTGTTTGAGTGAGCTGTCTAAGTCTAAATATGTAGGATTTGTGGAAATGAAAGTTATGTTTTTGATGAGAAAACAAGATTATAACACAGATCTGAAAATACCGTAATATGAGCTCTTTAAAAGCACAATAAAATCACATAAATAGAAGGTAAAACAATAAAAGATGCGGAGGACACGGGACACAGTCAGTGGATGGATCCGGGTGTTTCAGATCCCACGGGCCTGTCTGAAGAGGTGGGTTTTTGAAGGGTTTTGAAAGAAAAGTGGGAGCCTATGTCACAGTTGAATGATAGGAGGGAGTTCCAGTGTTGGGGCAGCACAGTGACTGGAAGCTCTGGCCCCCGTGGATGACAGGCAGAAGATGAGTGCAGGGATAGGTGCAAGATTTTATTTATTTTATTTTATTTATTATTTATTTGAGACAAGGACAGCGCTCAATTTTTACATTAACCTTAACAGGAGAGATGCATTGTACCAGGTTGTAGCATCAGTGAAGAACTTTGTATGTAAGAAGAAAGATTTTATAGTCAGTGCAGAATTTGATTGGAAGCCAGTGGATGGGGTGATGTGGTCAGAAGAGGGGGTTCTGGTGAGCGGTTTTGGACCGCTTTAGTGTATGAACCATATACTGTAGACACAAGTGGACATAACTAACCTGCTAGCCGCAAGTGAGCATGGGTAGCTTCCGGGTCCATCGACAGTTGACTTTACATGGAAAAAATTGTAACTGCTCTGTCTGTAACTGCTGCTGTGATCCTCATTTTGGTCTTAAAATGTTCGTATTACTCTGCATTTTCCTGGTGTTTTTATTTTGCTCTTTTATCTGTAAATAAATTCCTATTCCTAATATGAACCTCAACTCCAAATTCGCTCGTATAACTGCCACTCTGGTGAGCTTCATTTGACCGGAGCTGAATGCTATGGGTGACGTTACACTCCCTTAGTCCACTTCTTGATACACTCTTTGGTATGGACATGACATATTCTCTCTCACTCAGGATGTTTTTGTGTTCACAGCTGGAGGTTTTTCTTCTACCTATTGGCATTTGTTGGCGGAATTCTGGCGGTATATGATGTGAGTCAGAACTTATCCTACTTTTTTTTTTTTCTTTTTTAGTGCTAATTTGATGTATGTTTTGTTGTTTTATTTTGAAGAAAGAATGGTTCTATGACACCAGAGAAGTATGGACAGATTTTCCGAATCAGGTATATAAACTGTTACACTGCGCATTTTGTATTAGTGCATCTGACAGATTTTCATATTTTTCAATTTATTATTATGTGCTTTGGTGGGATAGTACATACGGTCGGTATTTACAAGTGCTGTTGGCTGTTTGTGGAAAAAAGTTAAGAACAAAAGTACAAAAGTATAGGAAGTAGTGGTGAGTTCTAAAACAGAATACCTCGATCTATGTCATCGGCATCGAAAATTCCATCTAAAACGCAGGGTCAATTTTTTGTGCAAGGAAGGTGGCAGTTTGAAGCTTCATTTCACAAAATAAAGATGTTGTCATTTACGTTTATTAGTTTATTTATAGCTATTGTGCATTTTAGACAGGTTTTGGCCCTTGTTAGCATTATGGTTCCTAGGTAACAGTTATGAAATTGCCTCTATGTTTGCTGATCAAGTCTGACTAGGAAGTAAAATTATAACTTCGAATCCACAAAACTCAAAAAAATTAGGAATGGTATATGGTAAAATCTCAAAAATAATTATGTTAACTATGCTTTACTTAAATGTGTAGTCTAACCTTTCCTAAAACAATTAAAATGCAATTCTATTACAATTACCAAAGATATGCAATGATTTCATTTGTAAACTTCTTTCTGACATCAGCCATTGCTGGACTCTCAGTACTGGTACTACATTCTGGAGATGAGCTTCTACTGCTCTCTGCTCCTCAGTGTGGCCTTTGACATCAAGCGAAAGGTTGGTAAATCTACACACTAATGCATAACGATCACGTTTTTACCTATCACAGTTATATTTGCATTTTGTTTTGAAATTTTTTGGCATATTTATTTGCTTGTTTTTTTGCCAAATTGCTATAACTTATTTTGCAATAGCTGTGATAGGGATGGACAGTATCTGAGTTCTATTGTTGATATGGGCTGATATGCAGTATTCATTTGTATATGTAAATATGGCAAAATTTCCCCTTATATAGCACCAATCACTTTTTATAATTCTATGCATTTGTATAGTAAAATATTAATAGTTTTCCAGATATTCACTAATTACAACAGTTCCTTTCTCTTTCAGTGTATTCCGTTAAAATTCTAATTAGAACAAAAATCATTTCCATTTCTTCTTTTTCTGGTGATACACAACACACTGATCTACAGTCACACAACCAACATATACGGAACTCATGAAAAATTACATTTTCGTTACACTCTAGTAAACACAGACATTCTCATGTGTGACCAATATCACACAAATGTTCATGGGCACTGTACAGCTACACACATTGCATTGTGGATATAACGATGATGTAATATGGGCTGGGCTCCTCATAAGCTGCTTCTGTGGTGAACTGCCCCCACCGATGCCTCATGGGGGACCAGGTTGCTATCTCTGATTGTCCTTGTGTAATGGGTACTTTAATTATTTTAGTGGAGACTTTTTCATGTGATACTTTTACTTTTACTTGAATATATTTTTTCTCATATGTGCTTTTACTTGAAGGTGCACTGCGCAACTTTTCTAGTGGTGGGTCCACTACCTACTTGTCTCCACGGATATGTCATTGCTTTGCCTGGAATGTTTCACATTAAACACATCTATCTAGCATTTATTCATTATGGATTTTTCTATTGCTCAAAAATACAATCATTCTCTCTGCAAATATGGGTTACTTCTCTATAGATCTGACTTGTAATGTAGCTTATAGGTGTCTCCTTTGAGATGGATAAGTTTAATCTCTTCTGTGTAACATTCTAGACAAAGCACTAACAGCTCCATGAGTAGTAGCACAAGTAGGTGAGGGAGTGTCCACCAGAAAAGTTGCGCAATGCACCTTTAAGTAACAAAATCAACTACTTCTCCCACAAGCTGACATTACATTTCTGTCCATTGCACTGCCCTCCAGGACTTCAAGGTGCAGATCATCCACCACTGTGCCACTCTGGTGCTGCTATTTTTCTCCTGGTGTTGTAACTACATCCGAGTGGGGACCCTGGTGATGCTGGTGCACGATGCTTCTGACGTGCCCCTAGAGGTGGGTTAGCTCCAGTGACTTGTGACTTGTTTTTGCCCCTACAACATTTTAACTCGTGCTCTGTTTTAGTCTGCCAAGTTATTCAGCTACGCCAAGTGGGAAAAAATGTTCAAGACCCTCTTTTTTCTGTTTGTCATTGTCTTCATGCTGACACGGCTTGTTGTTTTTCCATTTTGGTAAGCTTGTTCATCATACAATTGTCTCTCTATAGTCAGATTTGTAAAGTATAAACAGTGTTGGGAAGTAACTGAGAATACATATCCTGAATACTGATTTTGAGTAACTCTTTTCCAATACATTTACGCTTTAATTTGATGGTATTCAAAGTGCAGTTACTTTTCTCATATCAAAGGAATACATTACTATATTTGATCATGTAATTTAGGCTTCAAAGTGCACATAATTAGTGAGAAAACTAGACAAATCTGCTCTTGTGGTGAGTGCATGTGTGACTTTTCCATCTCCAGTTAGTGATAATAAATGCTTAAAAAAACACAGCTCAATGTAAAAGTATTCTGTGTATTCAGAATGCAGTACTCTGATTGGACCATCAGAATGAGTTACGAAGTACATTTATATAGTGCAGGTATTCAGTATTCTGTAGCTAAATATATTTTCAAAGTATTCTTCCCTTCACTGAGTATAAATACATGTGCTAAAATATGTATTCAGAATGCTCATTTTGACTGCATTCAAGTACAGTCACTGTTTCATTTGATAGTACAGTTACTTTCCTAAAAATTAAATCAACACATTACAGTATCATGCAATGTAAGCTTCAAACTGTAAGTCATAAGTAAATTAATAATGAACTGTGAAATAAACAAAATGCTATAATATAATGCAATTCAATGGAAAAGTATTTGAAGTATTCAGAATACAGCACTCTGACTGGATCATGTAACAGGATACATTACAAAATACATTTTATTTATACATTCCTATATTAAGAATCTTGAACTAAGAACTAAATACATTTTCAGAGTATTCTTCCCAACACTGCCTGTAGACCAGACTGTCCAGAGAAGTGAAAGGGTGATTTTGATTTTTTTTGTCCCAGGTTGATCCACAGTACCTGGGTGTATCCGCCCCAGTACTATCCTCCCTTCTTTGCGTACTACTTCTTCAATGTCATGCTGCTGATTCTCCAAGCCCTGCATGTATTCTGGGCCTACCTCATCCTCCGCATGCTCTACAAATTTGTCTTTGGCACAGTGAGATTCTTCTTTAATACTTCTTTAAAACTTTACATCACTTTTTTGTATCACAAATAGTATGTGAATATCATTCAAACTGCCTGAATGTGATGTGTGAGTGAGTAAATGGAGGTGATTAGATGGGCCACAAACTACAGAAGCAACTTACCAAGACGTGACAAGTAAATAATGCAGTGTCAAGCATTTTGTAGTGTCAAAAAAAAAAAAATGCATTATTATTATTATAGCCTATTTTTTTACAACTTTTATGTAGCTATTATTACCTAGGTATGAATGTGGTGTGGTCATTTACTGATGATCAGAGGGGACAATGGCAAAGATTGGCAGCCTTGCTTCTGTCAGCCCACCCCAGGGCAGCTGTGACCATGGAAGTAATTTGCCACAAGTGTGTAGTGAATACAATGATTTTTTTTTTTAAATGAACATCTTGGGAAAAGTGCTATATAAGGCTGCATTATTTTTTATTATGTCGACTCAAAGCTAAACCCTCTTATAAAATGCAAATTAAGTGGTACTCCAGTAAGTACTCCTGTGAGTTTCCTAAATCCATATCTCCAGCCTCCTTTTAACTGCTTCCCACCAGTGCAAAAACAGAGGCCGAATCATTGAACCCCCTGCTGGCAACTGCAGAGGTTTGCATAATTGGAAATCAGGGCTGAATTTCTTTCACTTGTTTTCCATACACAGCACTTTAAGCTATTATACTTCAGTGTGAAATACAAACTTAAAGTGCCAAAATTTCTACTAAATACTAATAATGCATAAATGGGACATTTTTAACAAACATTCCAATACCAGAGATACGATGTTTTGATTTCTGTTGCAGCTGACCAAAGATGAGAGAAGTGACAATGAAGCTGAAGAGGAGCTGAGCCCAGAGGAGGAAGAGGAGGATCATTATAAAAGTGTGGTCCAGGAAAAGGGTCAGAATGGGTGCTCTGAGCTCCTGCCCCCTCCTCACACAAACTGCCCATCCAAGACTGTGTATTGACCTGTGCTCTCCGTGGGCAGGACTAACGAGTGACCAGGCTCTTCTCATCGTGCAACCTCATAGACTTTTTATATAGAGAACGATTTATGGATGCTAGTGGAAAAAAAATGTATTTACCTTGCCTATTGAGAAAGTTATATCTCTGTATTTTTTATACAAAAGGATCTGCCCTGAATCTCCATCTTAAAGAAACAACCACTCTTTTGAGGATAGTGAGGTACAGATCTTAGCCAGAAAAAAGAAATTGCTTGACAGGGGAGTTAAATAAGTTATTTTTGTTAGGAAAGACAGTCCATCTTTGAACAGAAATGGGGGGCTTACACATCATCTCCTATTTACAACTCCATTTTCAGACCTAAATCAAAACAAAGAAAACAACAGTGATAGCCTGTTCATGCTCAGAGGTGTGAAAGTACCCATCAGGGGCCTGAATGATTATACTAATATGACTCAGGCACAGTCCACACTTAGTGCAGTTCAATAGACCAAGCACACAGAAACTGTAAAGTAGGTGTGTTAGTTTCAGTGTAGTTAGTGCCTCCCTACAGGCAGATATAAGGCAGTGTCCACCAGCAATCTGATCTGAATTGAAGAAGCAGCTTGGATGAACTGCGAAACATTTTCAGTCAAAAACTTTTTGTTAGTTGATGTTTTTTTAATTTCTTTGGCTATATACAAAAGAATATCAGTCTGGTTGCTGCACCCCCCCTTCACATCTTGAGCCCAAACCAAACACAATCAAATTTTTTCAGTGAAACAAAGGAGCTCTTTGGTCATGTATCATTTACAACTAAATTACATTTCTCTCACCTCAGATTAACATAGTTTAAGGCTCATTAATTCTGTAGGAGTCTGTAATGTTTTTCAGTCCTGTGATATTTTTCCCTGTAAGTATTTTTGAGTTTTGTTTTGATCCAGACGGACCCTGCATGCAACTGGCTAATCCAAGTGTCAATAATACCCATCTGAAAGTGATTTACCAGTATCCACATCTTCATAAAGTATTGCAGAAGTGTGTATTCTGGATCCCAGGAAATGATTTACCTTTTAATTAAAAATGCATGTCCATCCATGCCCCTGTGTTAGAATTGTGTATGCATAAAGCAACTTGCATATTTTAGGGCCATTTCTGAGTGGAATACTGTAGCAGTTAATATGCACTCAAACATTTCTGGCCCCCAATGTGTGCAACAATCTGGCAGTGTATAGTAGGGGTGCAAACAAATATTAAACATATTGTGATACTTTATTTATCTGTTACAGTATCTTTGTCAAAGACTAATATATCTTATATATATATATATAATCTTATGTATTTTACAAAACTATATTTAATAATTAACATTTTCTTTCTTTATTGGGAAAGAGAAACTTTGTAAAACTGTGTACTGAATACTAACATAGCTGTGATACAGAAATAAAACGTACAGAAGTAAAACGTGATACATTGTAGGGCAGGGGTCAACCTTTTTGAAACCGAAAGCTACTTCCTGGGTACTGAATAATGTTAAGGGCTACCAGTTTGATAACACTTCTGAAATAGCCAATTTGCTCAATTTACCTTTAACTAAATGTCATTATTAATAGTTAATGATATTTGGTATTGGAGTTTGGGAACTCTGTGTCACCTTTACAATGAGCAATGAATCCTGTGTGTCGGCCGATCATAGCAGGAGCCCCGTCTGTAGTCACTGACACCAGCTTTTCCAGGGGCACTTTTTTCTCCACCAAAAACTCCTTCACCGCGTTATATATGTCAACTCCCCTCGTAGTTGTCTTTAGGGGCAGTAGTGTGAGAAGTTCTTCTTTTGTGGAGAAATCATCAAACACCATCCTGATAAAGATCATCAGCTGCGCCGTACTGCTGCTGTCCACCGACTCGTCACACTGGATGCTAAACCACCTGCACCTCGCCAGATCACGGTCCAGCTGGTCGGCCAAGTTCCCGGACATCGCAGATACTCTTCTTACCATCGTAGCTGCCCCCAGTTGAACATCGGAGAGATTGGAGATCACGTCGGTTCCGCATTTCTCGTCTTCAAGTACAGTTTTAGCAATTAACATCATTGCTTCTTTAACTACCTCCCCGTCTGAAAATGCCTTCTTCTTTTTAATCAAGAATTGCGTAGCTCTAAATGAGGCTTCGGTTGCTTTTTGGGAGGCTTTAACTGGCCTTGTAAAAAAAGCTTGCTGTTTGCACAAAGCTGCCTTTAACTCGCGGGCTTTTTCTGCTCGCAGTGCACTGCCCTGTGGATAGTTAGCATGGTAGTTTGTGTGACACGTTGTGAAATGTCTCTCCACATTGTGCCGCTTTGCCGTCGCCACAGTCGCCCCGCAAATAATACAAACACATGCTCCTTTCACAGTCGTAAAAAAAACTCGACCTCCCATTCGTCCTGAAAATGATATGTCTTCTTTATTTTTTCTGCCATCTTTTTATGGGTCAGTCATCTCCTCATTTTCGCTGCGCCCGCTAGGTTGTTTGGTCGTAGCAATCTGCCGTAGACGCTACATTTTGGTAGCGCATCATACTGACCTTTGAACGAAAGTAGGTCATAGTTCATTTATATTAAACATTTTTTTTAGTTTTTTTTTTTTTTAAATATATTGTTATTTCCAGTTTATGTGTAAGTTTGATTTAAACAAGAAGCGCAAACAAAATAAATTAGATGCAGCTCATTGGTAAGTGGTGCTATTTGAGCTATTTTTAGAACAGGCCGGTGGGCGACTCATGTGGTTCTTACGGGCGACTGGGTGCCCGCGGGCAACGTGTTGGTGACCCCTGTTGTAGGGTATCTGCAAAATATTAGGTAAAATATCACCATGCCAACAACAACTGTAAAGCAACAGTTGACATGAAATAAACATGCTGGATTCAACAAGGTGTAAGTTACCAAATCACTGCTCTGTGCAATGCTGTGCCAATGCCAATTCCACATCTGCCCAGGGGTAAACGTCTACAAAAAATAAAAAATAAATAAACACTCACACACCACAGGCATATTTGGATAATGAGTCGAGGTGTCTTGCTTAAATACACAATGACAATAGTGACAATCGGAGCTGGGATTGAAAAACCACCTTACAGGACGTCCACCTTCCTGCTACCACCTGATCCAATGTCTCATCTTCACTATGAACAAGCAACAGACACTATTACCCCAATAAAGCCATTTGTTAACATGTAATATTAGCCATATAAATCGTTTTTTCTCTCTAATAAATCTGAGAGAATAGGTCTATAAGGTCTATAGATCTATATAATAGGCCAAAAATCACCCGACTTGTCTGTGTTTGGTTTCATTTAAACTTAACCTAACTCTCCACTTTATCATCAAAGTACTGGCATTGATTGGTTGTAGCTGAATGTCACTATAGTGTAGTTATAATGTTGGAAAAAAAGCAAGGCAGCCATCAAATAAGAGCAAGGTAAGAGCTTTAGTTAAATATTTGTAAAGTGAATAAAGGCCTTGTTTTAGGAAAAACAAGTTTTCGGAATATTTGGACTTTCTGCGTCATGCTGTGCGCTCTATAGAAAAGAGAAATGCTGCCCAGTAACCTGTCTCATAGTGGCCTATTCATAGACACACATGTCAGGCTACAGCCTGGGGGTCCTGCCCTCACGGTGGTCGCAGTGGCCCCAGGCAGGAGCAGTGTTCCCGGGACCAACAAGCTCCTGTCGGGGCTGGGCACTACATTTAGTCTTCTCGTGGTCCATCCATGCTCCAGTCGTCACACACTCACTATGTCAAATATGTGACTAATGCAACAACACCATCCACGGTGGGGCTTGGGTTAACTGCCCCTACTCCTGTCTGCGCCCTTCTTCACGTCTCTATTTAGCACAGCAACTACTACGCTGCTTTTACGCGCACGTTTTAGTGTTAAGCACGTAGAGCATTAGCCTTTGCACAGCTTTTTCATGTGTGTGTTCTTATATTACTATATCTGTGAGGACAGCACAGCCACAAGGCCCGTCTCTCCCTGTCATCACAGTGTTTGGAGCCTGGGCGTTACATCACGGCGGGACCGTTTAGTGGAAACCTCATAGAGGGACACAATGGGCTTTTGCGGGTGGCACAAATCTTCCAAATCTCCCACACGAGTTTACACACTCCGTTTAGAAGCCAACCTTTTTTTTCTCTCAAAACCACGTGTAGGGTTTCATGCCTTGACAGTGACGGGCAGCTATTGTGGCCAATCAGAAGTCCTCGTTTCTCGTGTTTCGTCGGTTCAGGGTTAGGCTGGACCAATGAGAGCGGAGAGGAGGGCAGCCCGGTTTGGGGAGGCGTATCCAGCTCTCCAAGGAACTCCAGCCAGATTTATCCAACTTCTACATCAGTAAAAGTGTCGCCACGGTCTCATCCAAACCTCAAGCGTCTATAGCTCTTTTCTGGAGACGTGCATTACCATGCGCCATAGCCATGCACACCTTTTGCTGTTGTTGCTTCTCTGCATCGCATTAAGTGGTGAGTAGTGGTGAGGACTTCTTTCCCACGAACACAGGGCTTTGTGTGTCTCAGATGTAGGTCAGACCAGCCTTAAGTAAGTGACCCAGCAGCACATTTTGTTCGCTGATCTGTGCTGATGTGGAGCGCATGGTTTTACCCTCAGAACGTTTTCTTTCTGCAGTCTTTCTTCTTTGCGCCAGGGGTTACGTGGCTTGCAGAAGTCAGCCTGTTCCAGTTAAGTCCACGAAAGAGCTGTGTGTTGAATCTAAACTCTTCCCTCCCCAGTGCACTGTGAGCTGGACACGGATGTGGTGGTACCGACGCTGCTGGCCGGACCAGCGGCGCACCTGTCCCGGGAGCACGTCCCGCACACGGCACGTCGCGGGCCGCGCTCACTGGATGCTTCTGGGGGATCCAGCTGGAATACCCGGGACATCCTCGTGGCGCTGCCCGCATTCGGAGGACGGCTGGTGCTAAATCTGACGCAGGACACCTCCTTTCTGTGGCGGGACTTTGTAGTAGAGGAAAGGCGAGGTGAGGACACAGAGGTGCTTAGGGTGCCCCCGGAGCAGCTCTGTTTCTACTCCGGCTCTGTGCTGAACTACTCGGGCTCCGTGGCGTCTGTCAGCACCTGTGGAGGTCTGGTAAGTTCTGCGGCATGACTGCCTACAATATACCTTCTCCCAATGTAATACAA